TTACGATATCTTAAGTACTGTCAGGGCGCATGTCGCCAGTTGCTGTATCGCTGTTTGCATGCAAGACGAGTGTGAATAATCGGAGTGTGATTGCAAACGTTACAGTGGATCGTTGTGTAGTTTCGTTTGTATTTACTTCCTGAATAGGTCGTCTCTAAAATCAGCAACGAATTCATCGCTATTCCCCCTTTTCGCTGTGTCTAAGGTTGTCCTCCTCTCTTGATCCGTGTTGGTCTCTTCTCCTGTCTTCACATCGTTCTCACGCTGTCTCCCTCGCGCCGTGGGGTGGGTATAATGGCCTTCCAATCTTACCTTGAGAGGCGAACGAGACCACTCGAATGTTACGAGTGCGTGCTGAAGGAGCGGCAACAGCTGAGCCTCTCACTTCTTCCTCTTGCAATGATTCCAGCGTCCCCGAAACACTCTCCTATGTTTGGTAAGATTTTTCTCGCCTGTTTTCCCCTCCCCCTGTGATAGGAGATTTGAATGGCCCATTCTATGTAATTGACATTCCATCACATCTGCATACCTATCCTGTTTTTCATGCTTCTAAATACTGTGTCAGTAGCAATGCATTTCCCTCTTGCAGATTGATGATAACCCCTAATGTGGATGGGAGGTATGACATAAACCACATCTTAGAAGATATTGTGTATGAGTCTGGTAGGAGGGGAGGACCGAAAAAAGCATTATAAGGTCCGATTCCAATACCATGAACCAAATGATGCCAGCCATTGACAAGTGGTAGATGAAGAACGAGCTGAAGGAGACTGGCCCTAACATTGTGCCTTACTATGAAAGAGCTAGGAGAGGAGTCGATATCGCAGATAGGTAGAAAGGTTGGGCTCTTCTCAGCCGAAAGGAGGAAAGGGTTTCACACTACAGTCAGTGTCCTGGCTCCCGGTCACGAAGTCCCAGTTGATCCCCGTCCCAAAGAAGTGACGGTTCGGCAGGCCCAGGGGCTGAAATGCCAATTCAGAGTCCCATAGGTCCGGTAGGATCCAGTAGCTCAAGAGTTGTAGGTCGTTGGAGGTCTGGAGGCCCGGTAGCTCAAAGAGTTGTAGGTCGTTGGAGGTCTGGAGGCCCGGTATCTGACAAAGAAAGTCATAAGTCCCAAAGTCAATTTTGCAGCAGCATCGTGGGAAAGTCCGGTAAGTTCCAGAACTGGCTAAGTGCCGCCGACAGGCTGCGGGGCGGCTACTTCTCCACAGTCCACTTTTTCCCTGCGCTCAGGCTGTGGCCAGGTAAGCCTTGTTAAGTTATTACAGGCGCCAAACATGCAGGGTAGGGTTTAGGGTTTAGGGTACAGTCAGTTTTCAGAGTAATAGGCCAGGGTGTAAAGTTTATGAGGGAGAGAGGGTCCCCATATCTGGGGTGGTGCTTCCAGAGAGGGGGAGGGCACAGGAAACATGAAGTCAGTAGCAGCGAGCTAACTTGGGCAGAGGTGAGGGGAGGTATATCCTTCCGGAAGGTAAGTAATCAATGCTGCCCACTTGGGTCTCTCTACCATAAAGGGGAGAAGCGTGGAGTGTGTTGTATACTGTATTTTGACTTACCGCCGTTGCCGGTGGAAAAGGAACTGGAATGCAGCTCGCCAGAATGGATATGGAGTCGGAGCCATAAGGCTCTCTTTTCCTTTTTAAGTTTTAAGTTTTAACACATATGATTTCAATTGTTTTGGAGTACGACTTCTCGGATTGGCCTAATTTGCCATCTGGCTGCTTTGTGTAAAGCCCGTTGAGTCTTCGGTGTGATGCATGTTGCAATTTGAGCATGGATCGAGCTGGTTGACTGCATTATTATTATTTTCTTTCCTCAGTTTTGTTGCTCTTTTAACAGCTTTGCCTGCTTGTAAGCGAGCTGTGCGTAGCTCTTGTGATCTGGTCATGGATGACTATTGCCATCTCTAAGAAGCCTGAAAATACTGCTTTTAGGGTAATCAGTACTAATCACAACATTTGGAATTTGGAATTATTCTTTGTTATGGTTCTGGTAGTTGTAATATGGATCTGGTGACTTACAATTGGACCTCGATACAGGAGGAGGCGGGGAAGCTCATTCTAGAGAACGAGAGGTTCAATATCTGGAGCGAGTTGGAATCGCTGGTCAATATGTTTGCAGTTCAATGTGAGCGCAAGGGCCTTGAGATTTTGCTAGACCTGGCAGGTGATAAAATCTCACTATGTTTGCTGATTCCTTAAATTTGAAATGAACAATATCGTACACCTATGGCTAAGACAACCTCTGGGGGCTATGCTATAAGGGGTTTTGGTTTTGTTCTTGTGTACATAGAACATTCCTTTTTTTTAAGTTTCTGCCAAGGTGGGGGATTTTATCCTTACCCTCGATCACACAGTAACTGCTTGTAGGCTTCACAGATCTTGCAGGTGATAAATCTAGCTATATTTGCTTCTTCTTTAAAGGTCAATTTATTTATCCCCCGCCCTGTCAAAAAAGTAAATGAACGACATCATATACCAATGGCTAAGATGGCCCCACTCTTGGGGGCTATATTTTCTCTGTTTTTCTCCCCTCCTATCCTGCTTCCTTTCTCGCTGTGCTTTCTTTTCTAACCACCATTACTTCTGGAAGTCGTGGCATGCATGCAGCCAGCCATTGCTACAGTGCCGCCACATTTCAACTTGAATGAATTTAATCCAGCACCCCAGGTCCATTCATTCCGGCAGGTGGCAGTGCGCATGCGGCCACGACTTTAGTAAGTACTGGTGGTTTTAGAGTCATTTCTCCGTTGGATAAACCTCTTCCTCCCCCGCCCTTGTCCTCTCTCTCCTCTCCCTCCTTCCTCGAGGTATTCCCTTCCCCTTCTGTTCTCCCTCTCCCCCTCTGTTCTCCGTTTGTCCCACATGCTGAGGAGTGGCGTGCTGAGAGTTCCCGCGTGTTGCCCGTCACTATCGTTCCTGCTCTTTCTCAACCACGGAAGTCAGATTTGGAAAATGCATGGCAGTGCTTTCACACCCGGCGTGGCAATGCGCCGGCCTGAGTTTGTGCGATTTCGGTAGCCCTCAGAGAGAGCTTGCATGCAGTCGCACAACTTTTCATGTTAGCATACCGTTGTTTTCTTGTGGAGGTCATCCATATTGTTATGGGATTTGCATCATAAGCTGGGCCTTTTCCAGTGGCTAAAGGATGGATTCATGTCCACCAAGTGAAGTTGCTTCTCTTCCAATCTCTCGTACTGTTCTGTGATGGTCGGTGCTTCATGCTGAGTGAGCAGAGAATGGAGTCTTGTAATAACAGTAGAGACTTGCTTGTGCTTCCCCCTCCTCTCCCCCCCTCTAAGGGAGTAGCTCTAAACGTTATTGTAATTTGTATCCGTCGGATTGTGCTAGGATTCGTATTCATTATTTGTTTATCAATAGTTACATGTGTGCGCCATTCAGGCCCAAGGGCTGGATGACTTGCATGTGCGGTTACTTGTGATCAGCATCTGGTCTCTTATGGCATATCACAGCATCCCATTCTATTTTTGAATAATTTTTTGATCCTCCAAGTGTGCATTTGTCTTTACTTTGTTTTTCTTTTTTCAAAGCAGGTCCTTATGGTTTTGGCTGAGTAGCCAGTCAGGGGGAGCATCAATCCGATTCCGTTTTTAATACCGGCAAGTCAGAGGGAATACAAAAGATGCCAAACCCATGATCTTTTCCGTTGAGAGTGTCCGGGCCCTTACTAACATTGATTATTCCTTTGTCCAGGAGGATTACTGTCAGATAGCCTCCTTTTCCCTCTTGGATCCTCTCAGTCTTATCCTGCTGAGACTGCCAGATTGATGCCACATGCATTCCCATGTGAATTTATCCTCCACTTGCAGTTGCTGATGGGTAATTTGTATCTCTGCTTTGGAATTGCTTGCAGATGACGTCCCAGAAATAGTGAGAGGTGACCAAGCACGTCTTCTTCAGATCTTCTCCAACCTTATTGGAAATGCCATCAAGTTCACATCATCAGGGCATGTGGTAGTGCGTGGCTGGGTGGAGGACGTTGAGCACAGTGAGGCAGACACAGAGAGGGTACCAGCACTGGAGGGATCTCAGGATGATGTGCCAGCAAGTTATCATCCTCAGATGCTTAAGACACCTCCAAAATGCTGCCTAACAACGTGGTTGCTGATGACATGTCGGCGGGCATTGGATATTACCAGCAAACAATTATTGCTAAACAGATGCAGAACAAAGAGAAGAGAGTCTGGATTCGAGCCTCAGTGCATCTTCTCCAACTGGATTGCGGGTCGAGTTGAAAAGGACACCAAACGCTCCACCAGTTCAGGAACTGAAGGTGCTTCGATGCACAGTAGAAGTCATGTGATAGACTTGGGTTCTGGCCATGACGATGCCATCACTTCTCGTAAAACTGTTCTCATCTTTGAGGTAGAAGACACCGGACCTGGCGTGCCAGAAGAACTGAGGGAGAGAATCTTTGAGGGCTTTGTGCAAGGAGATGCTTCCATTACACGAAAGTAAGTTGCAACCACCTCTCTTTTTTTTTTCTGAAGGGGGCAACCCCTAACCTTATTGTATTCATCTCGTTCTCTCAGGATTTGAACTCATAGCCTGTTGATTGACCGTTACATGTGTGTACCATTTCAGCCGCATGAGCTGTGACAATATCTGGAGTGATTGAGCTGTGACAATACCTTGAGTGATTTGAACCTCGTCTTCTCGTGTGCTTAATGTCCCAAGGCGTGGAAGGAGAAAATTTGTCGTGGTCTTAACTGCATTCTACCACGACTCTGAGCATCAGAGATGTTTTCGGGGTGGAGGCTTATATTGTTCTGGGAAAAATTGTGCCTGGTTTGCGTTTGGACCAGGTCCATTTTCGTGATTGCCTGGCACACTGCCCGGCAGATTTTGTTTGCCCAGGACCATCTGCAGTGAAGCTGGCACATAATTGTGCTAGACTAACCCATGAGTGCTCAGTGCCTCCGAATCTCAGTGAAACAAGACAGTCAACAGCAGAAGTGAAAATATACCAAACAATCAGCTCCGACTCAGCTTTCAGATTCTTCTCCCATAAGAAGTGATACTGCTGGCCCTTGGGACATCCGTTAAATTGGAACGATACATAGAAGATTAGCATGGCCCCTCCACAAGGATGACACATAAATCAAGAAAATGCCCAAAAAATTTGAAAAAAATGAAAAGAGAGCAAGTGATATTTTCAAAGATCTGACTCAAGTTCATGCAAGTCAGTGAAAGCCCACAACGCAGTCACAACCAAGCAAGGAGTTGGCATGAACCAAAATCAGCAGTTATTATCCCCAAACACAGAAATTGGTCAAGTGATCAAACTCGTAGTACAAGGGGCTATGGCCGCCAAGCGTCTCCATCAGGTAAGTCTTCACTGGCCCTCTCTCTACCTCTCTCTCTCTCGTTCTCTGTCCTCACTTGGAACGCTCACTCTCCGCGCTTGGATCGCGCACTCTCACTCTCTGTATGCAATTGCTTCTCTAACCCTATGAGCTATGGTGGTTGTATTGTTCCTCGCTAGCCATAGCTATGGTGCCTCAGCACTGGCTACTTCACCCAACGCCCAACCAGTCTTCCAGTCCGTCACACAAACGTACAGCAGCGCTTCCACAACATGCGAATTGACAAGTGAGTAACTTGAAGTACTATAGCAACTTAATAGTGGCCGAATATGAGATGTTTGTCGGCGATCGGTATTGGTCTCCCAAGGCCTGTCGACTGCACTATTGGCAGTTCTGGAACCCACCAGACTGTCCCAGGATGCTGCTGCTAAGTTTAGACGGGGACTTGGACTTTTCTTGTCACGTACTGTGCCTCTCAGACCTGTAACGACCTAAGACTTTCTAGCGACCTACCAGGCGTCTATCAACCTACTGGACCTAGTTCAACACTTCGGCCGCTGGGCCTGCCGTTTCAGTTACTTTTTCACGGGACTGGGACCATTCAGACTCTAGGACCGGTATACGGGACATAAGTGAGACGTGGAATCCTTTCACTCCCGCCGGCCTAATTTCGAGGTCCTTCAAGAAAAAAGTGCTAACCTTACTACCTATCTGCGATCTAGATACCTCTCCTAGCCCGCGCATAGTACAACACGATGTCCGGGGCTCTCTAACACAGTTCATTCTTGGTATATGATCTGTTATGCTCTGGTTCCGAGTACGGAATCCAGACTTTGTACTGCTGCTGCGGCCTTCCCCTCCTACCTGACCTGTAGACATCCTCATCCATGATGCAGTCAATGTCATAACAATCGTCCATATGAGGGGGAATCATTGACCTGCATGCAGGGAATGCATCGCTGGTGATGCAGACTCGGAATACTCCGAGTAATGCAATGAAGCCAAAGGATCAGCAAAGTGCAATGAACTTGCAGGCAATAGCGGGTGTACACTAACTGTTGCGTGTGTTTTCTTGCTGTTTCGTTGTTCTGAGCCTTGCAGGACTCGATCCCGTGACCTGTAACTTGTATGTTTTCTTTGTTAGTCTCAAGCCCTGTTGGGCTTGATCCCTGAATCTGTCACTAGTAGTCCCTGTTTGGCAGTCTTGGGCGACTTGGCCTTTTCCTTTTGCCTTGACATAGAGCTGGGTCCCTTTTTTCCCAGTTCCTGTATAGATACAGCTGAGTATTAGGTTGCTGCTTTAGGGTCCCTCGTAGGTCTCTGCCTGTCCGTTGCTGGAGCTATTTTGGGTGAGGTCATCTTCTTCCTCGAAGCCCAACAGAGTTGAAGATTGCACTGCTGCTATTTCGCAGCCCTGCATGGGAGCTTCCACAGGATTGTGTTGTTGGGTTTGGGCGCTGCCATCTTCCACTTGGTAAGTTGGTAGCCGTATCTGCTGTTCCTCCTCAAGAGGAACTTCACCTTCTTCGAAGTGCTGGATTGGATGTCTCCTTCTGCATCAGGACTTTCAGCGCTGCGCTTTCATGTGGGCGCTGAGCTGGCACTGCTATCATTCGGGTTGCGGGTTCAGAGTGGCACGTTGTGACATCTGTGGGGTTACTGCTGCTACGGCAGCCATAGCCAGGGTGATGAGCCGGCGAGCAGGAAGAAGCAGACTCCTGGATGCTTTGCTGATCATTTGTTTTTGGTTGTTCGGGGTTGCTGACAACGCGGTTGTGATTCTTGGACAGAAGTACTCTGAATTGATTGGAGGAGGACGGGGCATGAATAAGAACTGAAATTTGTTTCTCGGTCTATTGAGCTTCCTCTGTGTTTCTCTCTCTCCGGTTCTGTGTGGATTTGCCTCCTTTGGGTCTACTCTGCAATTGCATGCGTGAATGGGAACGTGTGAGTTCACTGTGGATTGAAGTTCAATCAGGTACATAACAAAAGTGATGATAAGGACTCGAATGGACAATGCAGCATCAGCGAAGCATCAACAAGCAATGTACATCCATAAACATACGAAAACAGCACAATGTAGTGCAGCGGAAGACTCAAAGATATGACCTGACCTGTCGGACACTGACTCCACTCAGCCCATCACACACCACACATGTGAGAGAGAAGGGAGGGACCGCATACTTGGAAGAAAGGTCCCTCCTTGAGCATGCACATGGGGAGAAACCACGGATGAGCGGATGGAAGAAGAGCGAGACGAAGATGGAGATGAGGGAGGAGATCAAGATCGTGATAGCGTAGTCCAAAAATAGTCTCCCTGTCGAATGTCCAATCAATGTCTGCCCCTGTGATGTCGAATCAGATCCTGGGCCCCATAGCCCGATGTAACCGCTGCCTGTGACCTCTCTCTCTCTGAAGGAAGAAGAAGAGGAAGAAGAAGAAGGAAGGAGAATATGGAGGGCAGGAACCGGAAGAAGAAGGAAATGTTGACCTGTCTGCTAGGGCAGGAGCAGGAAGAAGAATAAAAATGTCGACCTCTCCACTGCCTCACCTGCAGGTAACTGCTGCCACGTACTAACGAGCTGTTGTGCCTCTCTGTGCTGCAGGTTGCTGGTGAAGGAACCAGCTATGGCACCCAGGTAAGTTGTCCGCATGGCCACTGTCTCTCCCCTCACCCGCTAGCTCCTACACCTCTACCTCTACCTCTAACGATAGTGCAGCGCTGAGAATCGCATGCTGGTCCAACAGCATGTCGTCCAAAGGAGTGGGAACTCCTGTCTGCCCAGGAACTGGACTGGCCCAGCTAGATATGGCGCCGGGCCTGGCTGCAATGCCCACGGTCTGCAATTTAGGCCGTCGGATCTGAATTCCGATTGGTGGCCCAGATTGCAGGCCCAAGTCCTGCTCCTGGTCCTAGGCCTGAAAACGCCCTGCCTGGTTCCCTACTAAAAGTCCAGGCTCTCCTGCTGATGCAGCAGGTAAAGCCCACTACCGGACGACTCCAAACCTGGGCTAAAATGGCCCAGTCACGAACCTGGCCTCTCAGAGTCCTCAATCATGGTCCTGGTCCGAACAGACGGTAGTCTGTTTGGACACACTGCAAAGTCTGAAACAAAGCCCTAGAAGAGACAAAAGATTCAGCAAAAAAAACAGAAATGAATAAATGAATAAATGCTGGCTCAAAGAAAAGGACCTGCCTGGCCTACCAGGATGGCCGTGGGCCTCCAGGTCGTGTGTGAAGAATGGGCACGCGGCATGGAGGCCCCAACAACCGTTGTGGCGGGCTCAGCATGCAACACCCCTGGCCCCCCTTATGAAGCCAAGCCGCGACGAGGGCGAAGCTGACAATCGGAGGGCGGAACCGGAATGCACATTCCGGTGTGCATCGAGGAGCCGCAGGTGGCGTCTTGGCTTGCTGCTTGTGTTCGTAGCGTGCGAGGACATCCGGGGCTGTAGCCTGGAGTTCCACACGGGTCAACCAACAGTCAGTCTTATGGCTGCAGTACGAAAAACGCACCGAGTACCCTACCGGCTTGCTCCCATAGCGCCACTGCGATAGAATGTCGCTGACCTCGTGAAAACCATCCATGGAGGGAGGGTCTTGCAATCGTCACCTGGGAAAGTCGTCTCACTCCGCCAAAATGAAGGGAGCCAGCTTTGAACAATGGAAGACCGGGTGGACGGGCAAGTGGGCAGGCACCTCGAGGATGAACGAGCTCCCTTCCGGTGCGTCGCCAGCGGGTGTGGTGATGCACCAAGGCCCCATCCATTTCGAGAGGAGCTTGCGAGAGATGTCTTGCTGAAGGCTGAATTTTGCGGCGGAGACCCAAACGAGGTCGCCTTTGCGGGCACGGAAGACGCTGGCAATTGGCACTGTTGCGTCTTCAACATCTGATTTCGTGCACTGACAACGAGCTCTTGCATCCATATAATAAAGGTGAGGTGGTCATCACTTTCGGCCGTATGTGAAATGATAGTGTCCAATGGAAAGCCGGCCGGCGCGCCATGCTCAAACTCGAATGGTGAAACCCCAAAAGCCGGATGAATAGATGAGTTGCATGCCAACTCTTCGTCCGACAAGCGCTCAACCCAATCGTTTTGGTTGGGGAGGATAAGAGTGTGAAGAAGAACCTGTGCGGTTTGGTGCGCTCTCTCTGTTTGACCGTCGGTCTGCAGGTGGCGAGTTGAACTCGGCTTGAGAGATGATCCTCATCACTTGACAAGACCAACCCAAAAATCAGAGATGAACCGGGTGTCGCGGCGCACACGATCTCCTTGTGGTAACCCTTGGTACGTATCCAACCGGCGTATAGAACCTCAACCAATTCCGGTGCCTTTGAGTGATAACGACAACGCAAAAACATAGCGAACTTGGTGAGTCGATCAACCAGCATAAGGATACCGTCGACTCCGGACTTCGGCTTGGGCAATGGTCTGGTGATGTCCATGGCAATTGACTGTCGGCGTCCCAACGGCGCAACTCACTAAATGGACGATGATTGCGAGACTTGCATTGCCGGCACACCTCGCGTGTTGCGCGATAGCGCATGACGTCGTCGAGAAGGCCCAATGATCCCGGAGTTGGCCAATCGTGCGGTTAGCTTCAAAGTGTCCCGTGGCGGGAGCGGTACGAAACTCGCCGACAAGCCGCGTACACAAGTGAGGGTCACTCGGCACGCAAATAAGATTTTTTTCCCCCAGGGAATGCACAAGCAAGTACCCCTCTTGGATCCAATAGTGCGAAGGCGCCGGATCCGGTGATGAGCAATTTGCGTAGTAGTCCTGGAAGTTGGGGTCGGCATGCTAGCTCGGGATGAAGTTGTTCCGCAAGTCGTTATCGATCTCAGAGGTAGAATAGACTGCAGCGCAAAAGTATGGACGTCGCGAAAGAGCTTCCGCGAAACAGTTAGACTTGCTCGGAATGTGGTTGGGGGAAAAGTAAAATTGGTCCATGAAGGTCATCCAACGGGTAGTGGTGCTATCAACTGTGTCTTGCAACTTGTAGAACACCAATGGGTTGTTGTCAGTGACACATCGGAACTAGCGTCGACCGAGAAGAAAATCTTGCCATCTCTTGAGCACGTGAACAAAGGTCAATAACTCCTGCGCGTCATCGATCGAGTGGACGGGGGGCACCTTCTTGCTAAAGTACTCAATCGGGTGCATATCCACGCCATCGTGTTGCTTTGAGGACGACACCAATTCTATAGTCGGACGCATTGGTAGTGATGCGTGTGGGAAAATCGTAAATGCGCAAGACTTACGTGGATAGCAATGTGGCCTCGAGAGCCAAAAAGGAATCCCACACACTGCCGTCGAAGTGAAATGGTCCGTCCTCGCATTGAAGCTTGGTCAAATGAGCTGCGATCTTCGAGTAACCGTTGATGAAGCATTGGTACTAGCCAGCAAGTTCGAGATATGAATAAACACCGGTGACATTTTTCAGTTTTGGCGACTCTTGGACGACTTGGATCTTGTCTGACAATGGACTAATCCTCTCCTTTGTGACGAAATGGTGCAAGTACGATTCTTGACGTGCGAACTCGCACTTCTCGCGGTTGGCATTGTACTTGGCACGAGGAAGAGTCTCCAACACGTGTCGAACATGCTCAAGATGATCCTCCAAGTAGACCAGCACAAACCGGTCCAACATAGCCCAAAACTTGTGGGTGATCGCCGCTTGAAAAGTCATTGGGGCATTGGTGAGGCCGAAAGGCATGACCACCCACTCAAAAGTGCCCATACTGCGTCTTGAACGCGGATTTGTAGCAATCTTGCGGGCGAAGCGAAATTTGATGATAGCCCGACTTTAAATCCAACTTGGAGAAAAACTTTGCGCCACCCAAACGCTCAAGAAGATCGTCAATACGAGGAAGATTCCCCGCATTCTTGACGGTTTGCGCGTTGAGCTTGTGGTAGTAGATGTAAGGCCAAAGATCCTTGTTGTTCTTCCGTACGAAGAGAACCGACACACCATAAGCTGAATTGTTAGGGGGAATACAACCCTTCTCAACCAAGTCGTCAAGTTGCCCATGGAGAATCGTGAGTTCCTCCTTACTCATGCGATAAATGCAACCCTTGGGTGGCATGGTGCGGGCCTCGAGAATAATCTCATGATAGGTTGGCCGTTCCGGCACCACACCAGTAGGAGGCTTGAAGACGTCGACGAACTTGTCAAGCAACCGCACCACGCGGGGGTCCGTGGACAAATCCGTAGGTGTCGACTCGGTCTCGTAAGAACAAGTGGGCCGAAAACTCATCGGTTTACGATTCAAACAGGTCGGTTGCCAATTCGTCGATTTACGATTCAACTCCAATCCACTCTTGCCACTCAACCTAAAGGCTTTAGCCTTGTGGTTTGAATTGTTTCATTATGTTTTTACCCGGACTTTATTGAACGGCCATTTAACAAAAGTGCCGAGTATTTTTATTTTGAGGAGTTGCACAAGAGGAAGGCTTGCATGGCTAGAGCAAGGGGTATGAGTGCAGAGAATGGTTGAAATTGACCCCATGGACGGATTCGAACCATCATTCGTGGAATTGCAGTCCAATACATTACCTTTATGTTACTTAGCCTTTGATTTGATTGATGAAAAAAGAAAGGTGCGAAGCAATGAGTTTTTTTTCAATTTTTAAAAAATCAAATTCGTGTTTGACTCATCTTCCACCATTACTGATGGGGTAAGACTATGCCTTCACCATATTCACTACAGTCACCTGTAAGAACTTAGGTACGAGCCGTATGAATGATGTGTGCAAGAAAGACAAAGAGTCAGACACATCATTCTCATCACAACAGATAAAACCAGAAGGTTCGATTAACAACTTTTGAAAGTTGAAAAGAAATTGTGAATCAGTCGTTACGGAGAACATATTCTTCGATCTTTGACGCGGTCTTCTTATACAACCCGCAAAGTATCTGCCAAACGACTTAATTCAATATTGATATAAAAGAAGTAAGCACGTTTGACTTCAGAATAGGTTCTTACCACGGCGTTAACTTGACCTTGTAATTTATGCCTTCACCGTTTTGAGCTCGTTTATTACCTCTAAGTTTCCATATGCTAGATCTTCTACTTTTTTATGTGTTCTTTGAAAGTGTTTTAATCCCTATGTTTATTATTATAGGGGTATGGGGTTCTAGACAGAGAAAAATACGAGCAACATATCAGTTTTTCTTATATACTTTACTTGGATCCGTTTTCATGCTTTTAGCTATTTTATTGATTTTGTTTCAAACGGGAACCACTGATTTACAAATCTTATTAACAACAGAATTTAGCGAACGACGTCAAATATTGCTATGGATTGCTTTTTTTGCAYCTTTTGCAGTGAAAGTACCTATGGTAYCAGTTCATATTTGGTTACCTGAAGCTCATGTAGAAGCACYCACCGCTGKATCTGTTATCTTAGCGGGAATTCTCTTAAAATTGGGAACTTATGGTTTTTTAAGATTTTCAATACCAATGTTTCCAGAAACTACTCTTTATTTCACTCTATTGAATATACAAGGAATTGAAGGTAGTATTTTACTCATGTTAAGTCATGGACTGGTTTCTTCAGCCCTTTTTTTATGTGTAGGTGCTTTATATGATCGACATAAAACCCGACTTGTTAAATATTATGGAGGTTTAGTCAGTACAATGCCTATCTTCTCTACTATTTTCCTGTTTTTTACTTTAGCCAATATTAGTCTCGTAGTGCATGGATTTTTGGTTGAATCTTTGATGTGATTGCAGGTATGTTTTGTGGTTCGGACCTTGGATTTTGACTGCCTGCGATCACATACATATAAATGGCTGAGAGGAGCTCCACTGTGACTGTGAGAAGTGATCGTCCTATTTTAATAACCTTTATTTGTATGTGTGCATATTTATGATCTGAGTGTTCGCGTGGCCTATCGCGACCATGCGTAAGGGTTAAACAGAGTATGTCTCGAGAAAAAAAAGGAGATTCCCCGTTTATCCTTTGCTTTTTAGAGTTTTTTATAGTTGGACGTTGTAGTCCGTGACAATTGTCAAAGTTAAACCCCTTGATTTTTTTTCTCCAGGCCCTAGATGATGGAGCTGGTCCCCAGGGCAATAAGAGACGATTG